TCTAGTGTGTTGCTTCTCTTGAGCTCTAGGAACAACATTTTCGAAAGAGTTAAAAACCATATCCATCTCGATTTGATCCTAGTTGTCGTAAAAAGAATTGCAGCTTGAAAAAATGAAGTATAGAGTTTTGCAGAGGGAAAGCTTCCGGCTATTTTTTGGCCTTTGCGATCAACATATCTTCTAGAAGGAAGCATCTGGCAATTTTTAATCTATGACAACTTTAACTTCACTTATCGAGATCTATCTGCCTTGAAAGTATCATAATTTTTCGTCGAGCTTTTTCTCAGAAATCTCGAAAGGTGAAGGAAGCATTCTCTTAAATATTCGACGGATACTAATTATACATGGGCAATACAGGCACATGATGATGTTCAAATTTATCGATCAATTGTTGTGCTTCTTCAAAAACAGTTGCACGATTGAAATAATCAATCTAATCAAATATAGGTAAAAAATTGATTCAAATGTGCCAAAAAAAAGACAATAAGATTTGAGATACCATAGTTGTATATATTGTTTCTGTTTTGATTTGGATATTGTGGAAGATTGAAGGAGCTACATCAATGAGTCCTGAATGTGATCTTGCGTTTAGAACACAGACATAAGTCATTAATAGATTTTGTTGGCATTTGACGAAAAACTTCAACTGCTTGATGATTCATTCCATTTAAACCATAATAATTAACTAATCAACAAACAATCGATTTTTATTAATAGAAAAAAAAAGTAAATCGTGAAATAGACACATTGCTGTGTATCCGATTGGATCAGGTTGAAACATATCTTCACAAATTCGTTTTGCTCGATCAACACACGCAGTTTTTTTTAATATTTAAGAAAAAGCAAATGTTTAAAAAAACATCTTTTTGAACATGCCCACATATCGACCAATGCATTTTGAATTCGATGATTAGTAGGAAAAGAACTTGGAATTTGTTCAACAATCGATTAAGATATTTCCAAAACAGCAATTTAAGCTAAAGCGTTGATAACACAAAGATAAATAACAATACCTGATTCAAAAATAATCGATTTTCGTTTTAGAATATAAATTCAATCTTGTTTCACAATTATTTTCTGTATAGAACTGATCATTACGAATCTGATTAAAAATTTCAATTGATTTAGTCGCCATATTATTCATAGTAAAACCTGTAAAAAAAGATCACGTCTAATAGAAGAATTTATAAGTATGATAATAGTTGTAACCTTTCATCATTGCTCTTTATATGAATAATGTTTTCTTTGTGAATGTATCAAACAAAGACTGAGCACGATTAACATCACTATTTCGAACTGTAATCATAGAATTACGATAAAAGAAAAAAGGCGATTTCACTATTTTTTACGCGTGCGATAGCTCCTGATCGGACGGGTCACGAATATCCTATTTTTATAGAAGTTTCACTGAATAAGGGGAAAAACGTGAAGAACTCTCGTATTTGGATTCTTTCATAGTGGCAAAGCTCATTCCTGATGCTAAAAGAATCTTTCAAAATATCGTCTCGTGCTTTCCATTTGAAAACATAAGTCTTCTAAAGCAACTAGTTTTATTTTTGAAACGTGCGAATTTGGATGGCAGGTACTCGTCAAATACTCGGTTCAATTTTTTTCTGAATAAATATTTTTTTATAAGAAAGATCAGATTAAATTGCTGACACACTATGGGTTGCGAAGTGGATGAAAACTCTTTTATGAAGTTACGACATAGAAACTTTTCATTCGCATGTACAAATTTGAAAAATTGGGCCCTGGTAACAACATATTATCAAATGCGTGACAGTATTATTTTCTGGCAGATTCTTTCGAAATCAGATAGAATGTAAAAACTTCGGTTAGACCAAGATCAGATAGAATCAGAAAAATCGCAATATGTTTCTTATTATTGAACGAAACTTTAATAAAAAAGTATGATATTTGTGATTAGATCTACGAGTTCTAGCAGATTAGACAAGAAAAAAAATTAAATTTAAGGTAAAAGATATTTTTTTGCAATCCTTGACAGTATCTCAGGTCACAGATGTTCATGGCGGCGCTGTCGCGACAGCTGTGGCCTTTTTAGGGAGTTTGTAAAATTTCATGGATTTGCATCCAATTTGAATGTCTATAAGTTCAACAGTTCAAATGGTAGTGAATATGCTGAATTGAATCCAACCGTGCTAATTTAGCACAATAACGGAAGAGGTTTTAGAAGAACTTTTCGAAAATCATCGTGGAAGCGACAACTTTTTATTTACTTCACTGTGTCGCAGTAGTCGTGACAGATTTCAAAATTTTGACGTATAATAAAAATGTCAAAAGAATGTCGCCAGAAATGCAAAAATGTCACTTCATTCGATTCAACTGAAGTTTAGTGACACACTTACACACGATTGGTACACTTTGCACAGCAATCAATGTGAGGACAAAGGTGAAAGCCAGCATTAGTATTAACAAGAATCCATAATGATAACAAAATATTCAAGATCCTTGTAATATTAGATTAATTTTTTGTAATTATGTAAACTTCGAATTCCTAAAGTTTGTAATTAGTAGTGACGTTATTCTATATGATGATATCTCTTAGTTAATCGTATCATTTTTATTTAGGGATTTTTTGACAACTGAAGTGAATGTTTTTTGCACAACCATTGATTTAAAACAAAATAGAATTCACAGAAAGATGAAACAATGTCCTTTTTTTTTGTTCTATTCTATTTTTTCCAGCTTATCTATGGGAAATCAAATAAGCAAATTGTTAATCGAATTAATTCAGATAGTATTTGTTGTATATTTTAATTCGATTCAAACGTTTTGTTTCAGATTTCTATTAGAACGGCTGCTCAAAGTATTACTAAAATTCAATTGTATCCTTGATTCTAATTTTGTGATATGAAAAATAGTGAAACTACCAATTTTTCTGTTTATTGAATAAACTTACTGTTGAGATGAAATCAGATTATGAATATTTAAACCATGTTGAAAATCATCAAATTGAGTACATGCTTTTAAAGCTTAAATAATAATCCAATTAGAACAATTTTCAATATTTTTTTTTCTTTGAATTTATCGAATAAATGCTAAACATTTTGTAATAAATATTCCAAATCTCAAACCATAATTAACAAATTTATTTATCATAATATTATCTTTTTAAAACATTTAAGAATATCAATAATAAACTAAACATGTTAAGGCTAATGAATCATCGAATCAACTTCAAAAGAATCACTTGAGATTATGCTAGAAGCAAAACATTTCTCTATGGGTTCTTATTTTTACTGTTCGAATTCTGCAAGAGAAAAACAGATTTATTTTAGGCTTTTTTTTTATAAAGTCAGACAAAGAACTCAACAAACTGAGTAAGAATATATATTTTATTACCTTTTTTACAAAAGCCTTCTGATCGAAAAAATTTAGATTAACCATCTTAGTCTATGAGATTAATGTTATAATTAATCTAATAGACTATTTTTTCATAGCGAATTTAAACATATAAGTTTTGTAGTATGAGCAATGTAATTTTAGAAAAAATGGATTATTCAGAATTATTAAAAAAAACTCGATTATTTTTATCAAAAAGTTTTCAAAAAAATTATAAAATTGACATTCTTATTCAAATCATTGAGCTCTAACTATTGATATAAAAACGAAAAAAAAAAAACACATTTTGCTCGACTTTTGCATCTTATACTTCTTCTACCATCAACGACTAAAACTATTTTTCAATCACAGTAATCATTTGTGGTTCTTTATTTCTAATTCTTTTAATATTCATGTCATAATACTTGTCTCTGCATGGATAATTACAGATTATTTGCCTGAGAATTATTTTTCAATATCATTCTTTAAAAGTAATATTTAAAAACGAACTTAAAATCTTGCAAAATTTTCTTTTCTAGACTTCACAAATATTTACTAATGAACAACACTTCAAACGATATTATTATGTTTCTTTCTCGCTATGCAATTTATATTTCGCATTTCTCAAAATGCAAGCTGGTTCTGTCACGGAATGGCCAAGTTTCACCCCGTAAGGTTTCTATCCTAGTATATATTTCTTTCACAATATGTTTACTTTTTCTTTTCTTTCCTTTCATATGGATTTTTCAATTTCTATCCTCTGTATCATTAAATATGAGATTTTTCTCTTTCATATTCTTGTTGTCACCGAAATTCTTTCTTGCGGTTTGATTAATCTTGTTGGATTTTTTTCTATCTTATTAATCATCATAGATATTTCCAACGTGTCCACCTATATACACAGAATATAATTTTACAATAAAAGTCATTCCGATCAATGATTTCTTTTCTTTGATCTATAGAGTTAGTCTATTAAAATGTTCACATCTTCTACAGGTGTAAATCATATCAATTGTGTAGTTAATTTAGATCGAATCTCTCATCAGGATTACTCCCATATTTCTTCTTTTTCATCGTAGTTTTAAATATACGTTCATTGTACGGTTCTTTTTTTCTTCTTATTGACGTCAATTCATTTGTTTTTCTTCTTCTTAAATGTCTCTGTAAATAATGCTACGAGCAATGTCCAAGAACGTTTGTGTAAATAGGTCAAAGCAAAATATACAGATATCTTATCTGGTTTCTTTTTTTTCTTTGTCGTTTAATTTTAAACAAGTTATTTATATATTCAAAAAATAAAATGTCGCTATCAGTCGTTGTTCAGAATGTTCTCTTGTTCTCTATTGGTTATTTGGGTATAATACTAAGAGAAAAAATATAAAGACAGCTGACTATCATGAGGAAAAAAAAAAGAATTTTTGTCGTCGTCAAGTATGTATATCAGACAGACCATGTGTGACAATAATAGTATACATCAATGTGCATTTTTTTTCGTATTTTATAATGATATGCGAACGTGTGTCTGTTGATACCATCAAATAGGCTTGTTAGTTACGTGATCGATATTGTGTAATCGAGAAAAAAAAAGCACTACTATATGTATAAGGTTGAATGTATAATATATAATTTCGTGTTGTAGATTTCTTTATAGTATTACTATGGTATCAAGTTTACTTGCTCGTTGCATAATGTAAGTATTTATGTTAATTTTCTATAGAAATTTATTATTTTCTATAGTGTAACAATTGGTACACTTTATCCTGGATATCGATCTTATAAATCATTAATTAATTCAGATTTACGTGAAGTGGTATGAATGAAAATTTTCTTTTAATATATATAAGTAAATTACAATATATTTAGGTAAATTGTCTTCGATATTGGATTGTATTTTCAATATTTATTGCATGTGAAACAATAACTGATATTATTCTATCATGGTATATATTCATTAATATAATTGTATTTTTATTTGTTTTTTTTTGTTCATAGGTTTCCATTTTATTATTGGATTAAAATTGCTATTGTATTTTGGATAGTTTCACCAGCTGGTTCAACATTTTTATATAAACGTTTTATTCAACCACTTCTTAAAGAACGAGAACAAGTATGATTTGCAGAAAAATAATTTTCTTTTTCATTAACTTGAATTCATAGAATAACATTTGTTTTATGAGAGACTCATGACGGATGCCTTTCAACTGATTATTTGTACTTGAAGCGAAACCATGTGTATGATATAGATCTTAATGAACTGTGAATATTCTGAGAAATATTTAAGTTTTTAGTTTATTGCGGTAGAAATTCTGCATTTTTAATTGAATGTCGAAGTCTAGCTTTAGAAACCAAAAAAAAAATTGATTTTCAAATCTTGTACAAAAACAAACTTTAATGAGCATAGTTTATTGTAAAAGTTTTAAGTCCTTGAATTTGTTGCTAATCTTGAAATAAGAACACCGAATGAATAATTTCAAACACATATTTTTATCATAATTGTATCTTTCGGTCAAAAGAAAAGATAACAATAGATTCGAAAAAAAGAAACAAAAGTCAATTGACTAAATATTGATTATGAATGAAATATTTTGCTGATTAAAGAAAATCTGAGAATTTAGATTAGATTGTTAATCTAAATTACATCTGATTCTTTTATTAATTATAAATATCTTAAAATTTGATTCGAATAATATTACTTAGCTTAAATCGATTTATCTATTTCCTATTTGAATAGAATCATCAATGATCAAGATCTTCATGTTTTCTTTCGTCTCATATATAAGATACTGGTGAGTGTCTACAATTCCAAGAATGACTACAGTATTTTATCTAGCGTGGGGATCTAGGGAGATGACGTCCTTCTCAAGATCAAATTAGCCCCCCCGGAGTTCGTCATCATTGCAGCACATATTATGTGTCTATGCTTCCAAAAATAGTTGTTTGCCTTCCCAACATTTTCAATCGATCCTTTGGAAGAGAAAACCTTGATAAAACACTGATTGACTATATTCATTATGCTCTTTTCTTGTTATCCTTGTTCTATTTAATGATCTAACGTCAAAATTGACATGTCAGTTGACTTGATTTTCATCAACTCTAAGTATGACATAATTTTACTAATACATTTCCGGCAAATCATTGAAAACTTTGATCTTTTTAACTAGATGTAACATTATTGTATTGATAAGAGCAACTTTATCATTTGTCGAATAAGTCAAGTGTAAAACATACATGACATCCTTTTCTATAAAACATATGTTGATAGTGAAGGACAAAGAAAAGAAAAAAAGCTTTTATTTATAATTGTAGGAGATCGACCAACTAATCGAACAAACAAGACAAAAAGGTTATAGTGCATTATTCGACCTAACCAATAAAGGCTTTCGATATGCATCAAATATATTTTTAAATACTGCCGTATTGGTAAATAATGTTTCTTAACAATTTATATTTATATATTTTTTTTTTTTTTTTTTTTGAACAGGGTCAATCTTATCTCGGTGAACATTTAAAACGATCATTAAGTACAAGTGATATTAATACAAGTCCAACAAAAATTTTGTCCAATCCACCTGCTACATTAATAGAAGAAAGTGAAGAAGGTTAATAATAATAAATATCTTAATTAAAAATTTTCTTTGTTGTTTTTTTTTTTTTATTATAGAAACCGATCCAGAATTTATAAGTCGTATAAAAGAAGATCGAAAATATTTAGCTAAAACAACTAATCGAAAACCCCTTTCACGTAAGTATTTCTATTATTATTCTTCGAAGAATTCTTAATCGTATAGTAACTCTACTAGTACAGTCAGTCGGGTCCAAAGTCTTCGAACGTATATCCGGTCAAGCTGTACTTTGATACTCTCAATGAAATTTTCCAACCAGAATTGAATAGTCGCCCCAAAAAATACAATGTTCGGGCTTTTTTTTTTTTTTGGTATCCGGCGACTAGTGCATCCTATACATTTCTCAGATGATTACAATCTATTGAGTTCAAAATTTTCGAACCCGACTAGTTCTATTTACTTGTTGTAAACTTCTAAGAATCAGAACATTAGATATTCATTTTGAATGTTGTATTAATTATGTTTTTTTTATTTACTTAAGATTATCAAGAAAAACCTGAAGATTTATCCGATAATCCATTAGATGAATATGAAATGTCGAAAGTTATAGCTCGTAAAGGACGAACGGGAAATAAAAAAAATTCAAATGAAGTAAGTATCCTTTGTTTAAATCTTATTCTCTTGTTTCGTTCTCATATCCTGTTATTTTTTTTCTTAAATCAAATAGTATTACAGGTAATAAAACACACAATTAGTGTCCGTCTTGATTCTTTTCTTTTGTCTGTATTGAATCTTCTATAGTGTGTTGTTCTATTTCATTTAATATATAAAATAATAATTATTATGATTTATTAATTTAGAATGCTCCTAAAGGAATCACTTCAAAACGACAAATAAAACAAACAACCACAAAAAAACCTGTAGTTAAACAAGCAATATCAATCGAACATAATGCAGATAGCTCAAATGAAACAGATAATGAAATTGAAAATATTCGTCAAAGAACTTAGAATGTGTTTTTTTCCCCTCTACCCATGTAATATCATCTTTTCTTTTTTCGCTTAAAAATGATGCATCTATTCTCAATATGATTATGTACATTGCTAGACAATATGTTTGGTTCAAAAAGACAACTAAGTTTATATATATATGTATACATGAATATCGATGCTGACGTTTTTTTTTGTTTCTTTTTTCAATTATTTAAAAGTTGTTTGTTTCGTTTGACAAAAAAAATTCATGTTTTATTTAATCGTTATTGATATGTAAACAAAAAGAAAAGAACCTATAAGTGATATACACGTTGTATAAAATAGATAGTTAAATATGTTCAATATAGATTTGATGATAATATAATTGATAGGATTATTTATTGTTATATTTGCAAAAATTTTACTCTTTTATGAATATAATTCAATAGATTGAAATATCGATAATTTATTGATTTTATGATGATATATTGTTATCGTCAGCATAGTCATGATTGTTTGAATATTAGCTTCGATATCAATATATGAATAATAATTGATATTATAATCGATATTGAATTTTAAAGTACAATGACATGAGAAAATAGTGAATGTGTTTTATTGCGTAATGTACCAATTATATTGTTTTATTATTCGGTTGAACTTTGCCATTCAAACTCATTCATATAATGCGAGTAATTTGAACCTATCGCTTTTTTTTATATGTATTTAAATACAAACATTATGATAGTAAAGTATACTAATAAAATTATGCAATTAAACTTTTGTAATAAAAGAATCAAATTTCTATATAATTGATAGCAAAAATTGTTATATGTTTATTTATATTTCAGAATTATACATAAAGGACATTTCAGAAAGGAGGAGTGGGATTTTGAACGGTATTTTGAGACACTTTCCAAAAACTTGTCGAATCAAATAGGATCTGGTATGATGTCGGGGCTCATTTATTTACAAAGTTTTGACTATCCCAACATTGGATTTAAGTACACATTTCATTATTTCTTTTCAGACACTTTCTTAATGAACTGTGGTTTAATAGAAAAAAAAGCCAGTGCAATTGAATAACTAAACTCTTTCCCAACAGAAACTTTAACAAGGGGCATTCAAATGAAGGTCAAAGAAAAGGAATTTTTTGATTTGATATCCTTTGCGCATGCACTATTTTTACAATTTCGTATAAACTATTTTGATCACCTTGTACTAAATAGATATACTTTAGTATCAAGCTACCTGTTTGCTCAAAAACTGATTTTTTTGCACTAACGAGAGAACATCACCAACTGTTCAATCGCTTTTTAAATAAAACCTATTGGGTTCTAGGTTATCGACTATGCTGATTCCGAATATTGGCACGAGAAATGATCTTAGGCCTTTATAGGGTGGTTTTCTAGAAAACCAGATCTCCAAAAAACTAACTTTAAACCAAATTTTTGTTTTTGATCTGCTCAGATTATAGAGCACATCAAGTTGTCTATTAATCGATATTTTCTTTTGTTTCAAATAGATTTTACGATGAAATACAGCCAATTGAATTCATATAGTAGATGCATATTACTAGCGTTTCACTGTACAAATAGGCAAGTTTAATGTTGTTTATTCAAGACTATCCTTGCAAAACAGGAAAAACTATTGATTTATAGACAACTCAATGTGCTCTATAATCTGAGCAGGTCAAGAACAAAAATTTGGTTTAAAGTTAGTTTTCTGGAGATCTGGTTTTCTAGAAAACCATCCTATAAAGGTCTAAGGGCATTTCTCGTGTCCATATTCGGAACCAGCATAGTCGATAACCTAGAACCCAGTAGGTTTTATTTTAAAAGCGATTGGACAGTTGGCGATGTTCCCTCGTAAGTACATTCAAATTGCCTGGGACTTTCAGCTCTATTCCATAATGAAGTTTGAAAAAATATGTTAAGATGTAAGGCATGACAGAACCATTTTGTTTTGAATTCGTACTTTTTATATGGAAAGAAAAAGAGTGACAAGTTGAAGATCTAAAACGTCTCTCTAAAAATAGGAATCTATCTATATAAGTGTTTGCATTTATAATAAAAACCAGAGATTAATTAAGAAAAAAGAATACAGTTATGCTTGTATCTTGACATTCTATACCAAAAAAAAAAAAAAGAATTATATATAGAATAAGGGTTCACAGAGACATAAACAGATAGAAAAGGTAAAACATTTTTTTGAATAAAAACTTTCAGACACTTCTTTGATAGATTTGAATATAATAATCGCTATATTTATTTTTGAATCATGAATAAATAAATTACTTTTCTCACTTGTTAAACTTCATAAAACACTTATTTTGAGTATTAAAGGACTTGCTTCAAAATGTTCTACTAAAATCAAATGTAGACTCTCTCAACCCACTTTTCTACAGAAAAAAAATTATATTCATCACAAGCATTTTGCGCTATAATGAAAACTAAAATAGTAATTATGGTCTATAGATAGTCATCAGAGAGAAAGAAGAAAAATAAGTTAACAAATGATAAATTGTTATGATATGTGTCGATCACACTAGATCATATTATTTCCAATGTTTTTCTTTGTCTTACTCGTCTTTTCTTTTTCTCATTGTCGTTCAATGAGCTTTATTTCTTTTTACGAACGGTGATAACGTTTATCAAAATGCGTCTATATTCCCTTAAAATATTTATTTTCAATGCAAACAGCTGGAATACTATTTTTTTTTTGCCGGAAAACTAAAGTATGAATGAAAAAAGAAAATCATGTTGTTTCTGAGAGAACAGAATTCAGACTATCTCTTCTCATGCATTTATCTTTATTTTCATTTTTGTCATGGAAATTGACTTTTTTCTAGGGGGAACATGAGTCATTCGGAAATGGAGGAGAGCTATCATGAGATCATTGAGTACACAAGGCATTTGATTTTTTCTGTGTTTTCAATTTGCTAATGTCTGAAACTAGTAAATCTCAAATTTTAGTGTTTAATACGTTTCCTTTCAAAAGTTAGTCAATACTGACATTTTATCACTACGAGAAAAAATATCCGGTGAAAGTTGTACTCGTTTACGTTTCAATGAATTATTTCAAAATAATACAGTGTTGACCGAGTCAAGTTTTAATAAGGCACATATGAATGAAAAATGACTCTTTGATAACAATCTATCTTCTATCGGAATTCACAATCGGACAGTTCCAAGGTGAATTATATATTATGCAACTTTTTATTCTCTACAAAATGATTTGTTCTGAGTGAAACTGGATTCACATCTCTCTTATATAATAGGTTTTTGATGACTTTTCAATAGAAAACAGAACTATTTTTAGCCATTTTCAGCGACATAACATAATTGTAAAGCTAAATTTATATGACATGCGGAATCAACGTCAAAGATTATACGGAATCAAACACATTTTTGCAGAATTTTTTTGTCCTGTGAAAAATTCACCTGTGACTTCCATAGTCGTATTTTATTAAAATTTTGCTCCATGGTAGCCCAAAGGTTAGTTTCTCATAGAAAAAAAAATTATTTGATTCAATAGATTTTTTGATACTGATTTCGAATGCCATGTTGATTTTACTGTAAAATTGTGTTATGGCAGGGAGAATCACTAAAAATACTTTTTTTTTCTATATTGAAAAATCATCAAAAACCTTTGTGTGAAGGAGAGAAATGTGAATTCAGTTTCACTTCGAAGATAGCCTTTTTTGTAGCGAATAAAAAGTTGCATAATATATATAATAATTCATCTTGGAACTGTCTCATTCTGAATCCTGATAGAAGATAAATTGTTATCAAATAATCATTTTTCATTCATCTTTACCTATAAAACTTGACTCATTCAATATTGTATCATATTGAAATCAACTATTTCGTTCAGTTTTAAAATTCTCTTTTATAAAAAAAAAAGAACAAAGAAATTTTCAATAATTTGTTAAGATAAAAACAAGTACAAGATTTAAAGTATATTTCTTTTCATAATGGTAAAAGTCGGTATTAACTAATTTTTGACAGAAAGACGACAGGATACTCAAATTTTGGAATTGTTGGTTTCATACATCGATACATTGAATGCACAAAAAAAAAAAAACCCCGAGTGCCTCGTATTTCTTAAAGCACAAAAATATCAATAGTTCTAATTAAGATTTAAAAGAAAATACAACATTCTACATTAACAATGAATATTATACATAGAGTCTTGTTATCAAGCAAGTATATTATCTATCGTAATAGAACAATACAATCATTTCCTCGAGTTAATCTCAACGATTATTTTAGTTTTTCTCCATTCATTAGAATTTATCTTGTTGTTTTTGTATACCTTGTGAGTATATGTCCCTATTATTAATATACACTACAAATTCATTAATTCACATTATGAAGTTTTGCTTTAATTGAAACTTTTGTTCATTCCAAGAAGCTATTATATAGATAATCTATCTTGCATATGAGAAAAATCATTCGATGATATTTTCTTTTCTTATAATTGAAATGACATCTGAACATTTTCTTTTTATGGATCATTGCAATCAAATATCAATCATATCCAAGTATTTGTTAAAGATCATTATAATAAACAAAATTCAATTGATATAGAATGCTATTTATCATTTATTTCTTTTACGTCAAGTCATTAAAGCTTATCTTTTGCAAAAATGAATGGTCAATCAGCAGGAGAACAGATATCACACATCTGGACAACAGTCTTTTCCCTTGTTTTCTTGTCTTTTGCTTCTAATTAGCATAAACATATTGATTGACCGATTGAAAAAGAAGTTGATTGCCTTTTCGAATACAAACATTACATTCCATTTTGTAGAATTTATTTTTATTTATTGAAAAAAATAAAATAAAAACAAAAAAGAATTTCAATAATATACTTTTTATTTTATTTAATATATATATATATATATATTAATAATGTCGATTGTGAAAGCCCTCGGCATACTTCTATTACATTCCATAAGATATCTATTCGATATGGCCTGTCTTAGAAGTACGATATGGGAAACTTTCTAGGAAAAAAAAAAAAAAGAAAAGAAG